GCGCTAGGGGGCGTCGCAGTAGAAGGCGCATCGGCTTTGTTAGAGTGGGGGGTCCACGCGCCTTTCTCACGAAGAGGATCAGGTGAGAGGTGACCCTCCAATACCTTTAGTACGTTGGCTTTCGATGAATTTTCCTTCGCCGGGCCGGTGGAGGAGGCGTCTGAGCGGGATGTACGCGACATAGTGTTGAGGTTGGAAGGCAGAGGATAGGCGCACAGCAAACTCGAAGTAGAGAGAGAAAGCTAGAGAGATAAGGATTTGTGCGAATGAGGAGGGGTGGTGGTGGACCGAAGTATTTATATGAGGAGGAGCCCAACGGGCAAGTATGCGCGCCCGAACCTCGGATCTAATCCTCACCGTCCGTTTGAAATTTAAATTTCAAATTTCCAAACAAATAGAAATAACGATAATTATTCGAAATTTGAAACGCACGGAGAGGGGGGCAGGCAGGGATGGGCGCCCAAGGTCCCAGAAGGAAAGGAAGCTGCAGGCGACTGGTAAGGAATATGGCGATGGTCCATGAGCCCTCTGATGGCAAACGCGGGAAATCGGGCTCATAGTAGGAAGAATGGGGGTCACGAGAGCAAATTGGCATGGGGCAGGGGGACAATGATTGTGTATTAAGCGAGCGAGAAAGCCCCTAAGAGAGACCTAGGCAGAGGGGACGACGAGGCACCCCTTGAGTGGTTGATGGCCCGCGAGCAGTATGACAGGGGTTTAACTACCCATGTATGGTCGGGGCAAACAAATAGGGACTTACAATGAAAATGCCACCCAGTGTTGCATATAGTTAGACGCTCATAGTGAGTCATGAGCGCCTAACTGGGGGACAATTGTTGGGTAAACATAAATGGACCCTTAGGGGACGTGGGCCCATGGGGGCTGCATAAACCCAAGTCCACCTGAGAATTAGGAGAAGGGGATGCAAGTAGGGATGGCAATGGGTAGGTTCGGGTGCGGGTTTACCCTATACCAACTCCTAACCTGTCGGGTATAGCCTTCTAAAATACCCGACCAAATAACCACCGGGTATGAAAATTATATAACCATACCCTACCCACCGGGTAACCACGGGTAATCGGGTAACCATGGATACGAATCCTAAACTATGAACTTATACATGCACATACATATTGTTGTCCATTAAAAATTCTCAATACTTCTAATTTTTCTAGCTTCAACAATCCACACAAATAAAAACAACAAAAACATAATAATTGTTCTTGCTTCTACAATCCACACAAACATAATAATCGTCTACATCTTCATCATCAATAATGGTAGCTAAACCAAATTTCTCAAGCTAAACTAAATTTCTCAAGGGAAATTGACCCTTTGGTTAGCGGGGCGGGTATAACGGGGCGGGTATTATCGATTACCATACCCGTACCCTACCCTTTATTTTGAAACCGGGTTTTACCCGTACCCGCCCCTTAACCCGTCAAAGCGGGTAATTACCCTCGTTGACCGGTTACGGTCGGATAGGGTACCCATGGTTACGGGTTGGATTGACATCCCTAGATGCAAGTAAGGAATCAGGCCCATGCTAGGGTGAGCAGGCGCATAGCGACAAAAGTAGGGTGGGGACCGTGCACCTGAGGGGCTGAGGGCGTGCCACCTGGCAAGGTGGTCCCATCGGGCGCCCAGGCTTAGGAGCCTAGGAGCCGCCATGTGTAGGCGCCCGACCGTTGGGCCGTACCGAGCATTTAATGACGAGCTGACGTGGAGCTGAATTCTAGGAGCCTGGTCGGGACCTCGCCGAGTATAAATAGTAATCGGTAGGTGGCATTTACGCAGGTTGGCTTCTCTCACTAAAATCTCTCTTAGCACTTATCTCTCTAGATTTGGCACAAACTTGAGCGTCGGAGTGCTAACGGGCATCCAAAAGCCCTTTAGGCGCTTGTCTGTGCAGGGTCTAGGTGCCCCAAAGGAGTTCATCAGTCGGGTGTCCAGAGAGGTGGGACCGGAGGGTACCTGGCTCAAACAGGTCTACTTGGGTTTAGGTAAATATCATTTATTAGCCAAAATTTTCAATTTTTTTTAAAATTTGATACTTGCCATATATCTCTTCTCAGTCAATATTACTAACAAAATTGCTAACAAAAAATTAATTTTAGGCTAATAATATTAATAAAATACCATAACAGAACCACATAATACATGTTCATAAGCCATCTCCGTCCCGCGACAAGACGCGACATCGCTACCTGATCCCATTTAAATTGAATGAGACAATCACATAACACTCATTTCGTGCTCTTGTTTTATTCCACAACTTCATGTTCTTGGGAATATGCTTTAGTTTTTAGGTATTTTTCTCAATGGTATCACCATATCTCGCTAATACATATAATATAAGTAATATCTCGACAAATGCAAATATATCCAGTCAAAGAAAGAAAAGCCATCGGCAAACTATACTTTTTTCTTGTTTAGTCACAATTAGTAGTTTGACTTTGACCAGATTCCAATCGTACACTGAACACACTTCTCTCTTTATCCTATTCTATCAAATTGAAATAATCCCTTAACCTTTTAAAACAAAACTAAAATTTGCACTTGACAACTGTAGTTCCAATCAAAGAACAGCTTAATCATCTAATAAATAATAACACTGACTAAATGAAAATAATATAAAAAATGTGCGTATAATGGGACAAACCAGGTAACTAGTTGATACGATCACAAAAGTTTAGACTTTGTACAACATCGTTACAAAAATTTTATTTTATACTATTTGGTATTACATATTTGAATGTATAATGAAATGGTCATTTTTGTTCATTTTCATTCCATTTTCTGTTAAAATCGTGCACCGCATCATAAACAATATAAATAAATAATCCACTTCACCATCAAACTAACCTATCGAACTAATCAAACCCTGCCGAATCAAACTGATATTGCAAACTTTGTTTTACAGTTTTTATGACCATTTTGTTACCTGGTTGACAGGTTCTAAAAGAAGTGAATTTATTTGTTATGAAACAAATATTTTTGTACTGATAAGGTTTTAGAATGATTTCAAAATCATCTTTTCGTACAATTTTTTTTTCTTCAAACCCTTGCTCAATTTATTATTCTAAGTGTTATTTTTTTTTTTTTTGGGAGTAAGAGGAGGCAAAAGCCGAAGAAACAGAAACATAAGGGGGAGGGGAGGAGATTACAGAGCGAGAGAAGTGTGGGGAGCAGTCACAATGCTCCTAGTAAAAGTGGTTCATCTACAATCATCTCCGATAATGTGTTGGATCCTTTGGGGTGGCGCCGTTAGTTCATATACTTATCGTAGGGATAGACGAGATTGTACTTTGAAAGCCAATCCGTATTTACTAAGTAGGTTAGGTGGTTGGATAGTGAGGTATAATTATTTTATCATATTTTGGATGACGTGGATGGATGATAGGACAAATTTGACAGAGTTTTGAACGCAGATTGACGAAAATGATCATTTTTTTATATGTTCAAACATATGCTAGTGTTAATTAGTGTGTTAATGGATTTTGAAAAAACAAAATGAGCATTTTATAAATTCAAAATTTTATAGCTATTTTAAGCTAATTACCTGTCAAACCCATCCCAGTCCAAGACAACGTTAACTCCATATGCCAATCCCCCTGTCTGGTCGTGTGGGCCCTTCCCCCGCTCCTTTTCTTCCGGTCATCCAAAAGGGGTAAGACCGTAAAATCCTTCCTCCTTCCATCTTTTCCCCCTTCTCCAATTCCTAGATTTTACCGTCTCCAACACGCACCAAACAACCACTGACCCACCTCCGCACAAAATGCCAATCCAGTCCCTCCAAACTTATTCTCCTTTCGCTTTCAGTACCTCTTCTTTTCATACCCTTACATTCCAGTCCAAACCCTAAACAACTGAACTGAACAAAGGGAAGCAGCAAGTGGGCCATAGCAAAAGAAGATAAAAACCTCAACTTACTTTTTTCCTATCTCTTTCAACCCACAAATTTTCCTCCCACCATTCCCATTACTGGGAGAGCAAATTCAGCCTGCACGCACAGAAAAAAGCTTCTCACTTCCATCTCCACCTCTGATTATTACTACGACCCCCCTTTCTCCTTCACACACTAACCCAGTTGGTGGGCTCTACTGCTTCTACAACTACAAGCTACTGAGATTTGCCTCCCCCCTTCCCTCTTCTTCTCCTTGCAGAGTGTACTAATTGGCATCTTTTTGCCCCCCATCAACAAAGAGCTTTTGATTCCTCTTTCTCTCTCACTCGATCTATCTGCCCTTTTCTCCCTTCCATCATTTACCCACTTTAGAGCTTTGGTATTAGAGAAGCAAGATTGCATTATTTCGGATCCACTTCCGACCCCGGCCGTGGAGTATCACTTTGGTTGATTCTTCTTGCTATTATTAAAAATAATTTGTTGGGTTTGGATTGTTGAAGGTGGAAAAATGATGGGGTGTGAGATCATGATGCAGCAACAGCAGATGATGAAGAAGAAGGAAGATGACGACTGTTGGTGGCTGTCCCCTTTTTGACCAGGAAAAGAAAAAACAACAAACAAGAGATGGGGCCAGCACCCATTGTGTAAAAGCAGCCCAATACTACAGTTGAAAGAGAGGGGCAAAAAAAAAAAAAAAAAGAGGGTCGAGTCTTCCTCTTCCTCCTCTTCTCTGTCTCTCTCCAGCTCTGCTTTCTTCTTTTTGAGAGAGAGGGGCTCACTGTTCTTTCTCTCGTTACTGTGTTCGTCAATGACAGAGAATTAGAGGGGCGGAAGAGGGGAAAATAAAGGAAGAAGGGGGAAAGAGTGAAAGAGAGAGAAGGCCGATTTCTGCTATCCATCCGTCTCTTTCTCTTTTTGCTTTCCCACACGTTTCTTGTCTCTCTGTGGATGTGACTGTCCGACGAAGATGGCGAGGAATTCATAATTAGTTCCCCTTCTCCCTCCCTCCCCCCCTCTCCATTATTCATCTCTTCCTCTTCTCCACAGTTTCAGTGCTGTGGGTTTTTTCTTCTTCTTTGGTAGCTCTCAAATAATGGCGGTGTATCAGTCGAATCGACTCCGTAAGGACGGAGCCTTGATGGGTCTTGATGTGGGCGTTGGTGGGCAAGTCCTAGATCTGGAAACCGCCGTCAAAGACGGCATTCTCGGCGGCGGCGGAGGAATCGGAGTCGGCGGCGGTTGTGGGTTAATTAGCACGGCCGCGGCGGAGAAATTAGATCTGAAGAAAATGATTGAAGAGCTGGAAGCCGTGGAAGTGCCGTCGGTTTTCATCTGCCCGATTTCGCTCGACCCGATGCGCGACCCGGTTACGCTCTGCACGGGTCAGACCTACGAGAGATCCAACATCTTGAAATGGTTCTCAATGGGCCACTACACTTGCCCGACGACGATGCAGGAGCTCTGGGATGACTCCGTAACCCCCAACGCCACTCTCCAGCAGCTAATCCACACCTGGTTCGCTACGAAATACTCCGCCATGAAAAAGCGGTCCCAAGATGTTCAGGGGAGAGCCATTGAAGTCCTCGAGATTCTCAAGAAGGCGAAAGGGCAGTCTAGAATTGAAGCTCTCAAGGAGCTCCGGCAACTCGCCGCCGCGCATTCCACCGCGAGGAAGTCACTTGTCGACAATGGAGGCGTCGGGTCGCTGTCCTCTCTACTGGGTCCTTTCACCACGCACGCAGTGGGTTCCGAGGTAATTGCAATTCTGGTCAGTTTGGATCTTGATTACTCGGGGAAAACCAATTTGACCCAGCCAGCCAAGATTTCGTTGATGGTGGATATGTTGAATGAAGGGTCGATTGAGACGAGAATCAACTGCACGAGGCTGATTGAAATGCTCATGGAAGGTAAAGATTTCGTGTCGGAGAATGTTTCGAGTTTGTCTCTTTTGGTTGGATTGTTGAAGCTAGTGAAGAATGAGAGGCACCCAAATGGGGTGATTGCAGGACTCAGATTGCTCAAGGCAATTTGCTCTCATGAGTCGTTAAGAGCTTCCATTGTAAGCATTGGCGCAGTTTCCCAATTGGTGGAGCTGTTGCCTGGCTTCAAAGCCGATTGCATCGAATTGGCACTTCACATTCTCGAGGTTCTTTCTACTGTGCCAGAGGGGAGATTAGCCCTAAAGGAATGTGCCAAGACAATCCCAAACATGGTGAAATTGTTGATGAAGGTCTCCGAGAGTTGTACCCAATTGGCATTGGCGATTTTGTGGGCAGTATGCAAGCTAGCCCCGGAGGAATGTGGGGCTCTTGCTGTGGAGGCAGGTTTGGCTGCCAAATTACTTCTGGTGATACAGAGTTGTTATAACCCCGTGTTGAAGCAGAGATCAGCCGAGCTTTTGAAGTTGTGTAGCTCAAATTATACCGCCACGAATTTCATCTCCAAGTGTAAGCTCACCACGACTATACAATGATAATGAAGGATGGAACAATAAAGAGATAGGTACTCAGATTCTTTGTGTCGCACCCCCATGTAAATTTCAACAATAACCCATGATGGATGACGCTGAATTGGAGAAGAAGTTGGGCACTTTGGCAGCCAAATTCTGTACCAGAAAGTTGACATTATTCTGTCAGAAGCATAAGGAGCCTTTGCTGCCTGCAAGAAGTTTGTGCCCTATAAGTTGGTCCAATGGGTATTGGGGTGTTTTCTTATATAGACAACTCTTTCATTATTTGATTGTGAAGCAGTTTTGCTTGATTTATATATATGAATGAGTGGCGAAACCCAGCTGGGGTTATGGCCGGAAAGCAATTTGGTCCAGGCTCATGGAATGATTCATGAAAACCACATATATTCAGCATAACTGTATTCGAAGGGCTGAGATCGCACAGAACAGGACAGATGCCGAATGACTGCCCCGAAGACAATTCTAGATGCGGTGAAGGTACGGATGGCAGTACCCCGAAGACGAGGGATCATGGGCAGTTTGCAAGCTTAAAGATGAGCTGAAGTCCTGATCTGGAACTGGGGGAAGCTCTGAATGTTGCTGGCTCACAAGGAAAGGCTCAATGAATGATGATGATGGTGGTGGTGTGAAGGTGTTGAAACCGATGTATCAATGGAGAGTAGCTAGGAGAATAAGGAAAGAAAGGTATCTGCATTTTTGTGTGAACCCTGTAAATTTGAACCTAAGAACACAATGATTTTGTCTGGCAAAGATGGGGTTTCGATTGATCGTGAGAACTCGGTATTTGGTCCAATAAAAAGTTCTTGACGTTCTTTCTTTCTATCACATCTATGGTGCAAAGAACTTTTGTGCTGCTGCTGCACAAGTTGGGTCCATGGTGGGTATGGAGTGGAAGGGGGCGAAGTTTCTTATATAGAAAAAATCTTCCATTTTTTGTTGTAAGCTCATAAGTTGGTTGATTCACATATGGAGAGCTCTGTGACTGTAAATGAATTCTAGTTTTCACCATTGACAGATTCTTAAACCTTGTTGATTGGTTTGTTGATGATTTGATGGAACTCGGAAATGAGATGGGAAATTTGATGAGTTGGGTTAAAAGGGTAAATAATAAAGGGAGTTATAATTCTTTTGACCGAGTTTTGGAAGGAAGGACGGACCAGAGTCGAGCTTTCTCTGAGACGGATGGTCAAATTGAATACACAAGGTGGGTGGGTCGGGTCGTAACCCACATTATTCAAAGGATCTTTTCTTTTCTTTTCCCAGAATTTTGAATGTAAAGAAAAAGAAGATTAAGAAAGCTTTGGCCCTCACGTGTTGTACAGCAGTTTGTCGAGTACTGATCCACAGAGAGGCCCATTGGTCGAGCTGGAGAAGAAGAAAGAAAGAAGATTCAATTTTATGTTCTTTTATTAGGGACTGCGAAAGGATCTTTTTAAATTTTATTGAAGGAATTTTGACGAATATTTTGGTGACACAGGGAACTGCAATTCAGTAATTTGAAGAAATTAGAAAAGGTGTAAAATTTTAATAAATTTTTTGTTAATTTTTTTTTTTTTAATTCCGTAGCCAATTTCTATGCATGCAATTCTAACACTCAACCGTTGGCCATTGTTGGGTAATAATATAGAACCCTTTTCTTAACGAATAATAGGTTTTAGTATAAAGAGGAAATTTCGTCAAAATTATTGTAAATTCTAATAAAGAATTATATGGTCTTGACAACATTTCTTATGTGTGAATGATATTTTCGATAATAACAACAATTAAAATAGGAATAAGTGATTTTTCATGTCCAAAAAACCCAATGTGTTCTAACTTTCTTCTACTACGTTTGAATTAACTATTTCCCATTAGATTCAGATTTGGGTTTGTATAAAAAAAAATTGGTGGGGAGAAGAAGAAAGGGTTAAATAAAAACAACAGAAAGCAAACATGGGGGCGAGGCAGAGAAAGGCATCGCTATCAAAGAAAAGAATAATATTAGTCAAACAAATGCTTGCTTGCTTTGCTCGCTCATTTTTATGTGTTTGATTTCTGACGCTATCCATCCCTCCAAATTGGTGGGGAGAAGAAGAAAGGGTTAAATAAGTGACGTTAAATAAATACTCACTCGACAAACTGCTTGATTAAGTGGGATGAGGTCGGGACTGCGCTTGTCAAGTAGTGGAGTAAATAATACAGTTACAGTGGCAGGTTTGTAAGACAGTAAAAGTTGAAGGACCAAAATGGTTGAAATTTCGTCCTAGAAGAAAGAAACTAGAAACCCAAACCTTATCCCCCACCCCACGTGTCGAGTGCAGTTGGGTTGGGTTGGGTTGGCTCCCGAAAAAAGAAAAAGCAAACGTAATCAAAGTGGTCAAACTCCACATCAAAGACCGCAAACAGAACAACGCAAAGGCAACGAACCACCACCAAGCAAGGAATAGAAAATGAGAGAGAGAGAGAGAGAAAGAGGTTGCTTAGCTGGCACTTTGCCAGAGCCCAAAGGCAGAGGGCACGCTCCTCTTCCCTCTGTGACTGAGGTGGTCCCCACTGATCCCCACACGCCCACGAGACTTCCAGTTCCCAACTACAATTAATTCGCTCTTTATTATTACTGATATTATTATTATTATTATTACTACGAGCATCTCTTCAATTAATTATTTATTTACTATTTTGATTTTTATTGAGTACTTAAGGCATTCCCGCTCCTTGGGGATAAATTGGAATCCGGTAATGCCCTCCCTAGACCGGCCGGAGCAGCGGTTTAGTCGGTTCGCCAGCGAATGGCTCTTAACCATTCTTTTGAGTGATGACTTAACTGTTAACTTGACAATTTTTACAGGATTATCATATGATTGTCGGCATTTATCTGGATAATCCATAATTATACACCGTGGCGGACTCATGAATTTTATGTAGTGGTGTCATCTTTTAAAATAAAAATAAAAATAAAAATTAAATAATTCTTAAATAAGAAAAATATCAGACTAGTATTCGATAAAAAATATTCGATTAATACAAATTATAACAAAAACTCACGTCGTGTTTTCATATTCTGATTAAGACGGCTTATGAGCTGACAGCTGGCGAGGAAGGACCAACTGGACAGTACCGACTGTGGAGGGAGGTGTGGCAAAAGACATTTGACCTCGTCATATTCCAGAGTGGCGATTGACCTTATTCAACTTAAATGTTCATATCTTAATTTTCAAATCACATCCTATTAAATGTTATATATAAAAACTAATAATTTTCGTTCGATCGATGTCATCAAAGATCTCGCTTGACACAATAATAATCACGTCACATTAAATATTTACAAACCTAGAAAAATTGTATAAAATAAACGATGCACGAAACTAGACCCCTCGTACCTTAAGGACAACTATACCAAATCGATGTCCCTCTAACTAGGTTCCTCATTAGTGAGAACTTAAACACATAATTAGTGCATATTCTCTGCTCCGGCGGAGACATCATTGTATTCTACTCGGAATGAAATATATAGATAGATACGCATGGAGAGAGACGGTGGAGAGGACATCAAATGGTGGCTACTTGGATGGATCCAGAATGAATTTGTTGTCGAAGTACGTACGTTGTCACAGATGCATGCACGCACACACGATCGAGACATTTTCATGGGGGTGGAACGCAAAGTGAATCCCTAAGGGGGGGGGGGGGGGGGGGGAAAGCTTGAAATTTGGTCCACCCTCTCTATCGAAACAAGAGCAAGTGCCAAATTTTGATCTTGGAATCTCTAGGCGAAGCACTTAAAACCTTCTTTGTATAGATAAAGTTTAGCAGTACATGATTTCACACAAATATATTTCTAATTTTCTATTCTAACAGTATTATGTCGATCGAGCTGTGATTCCTAAGTGTTAATTAAGTTCAAGTTTTTATGAACTCTCTAGTATTTGCTCCTCGTTTGATGATGATATGTTTGTTGTAGAAAGTATGGTTTCTACTAGTATTTGAAGTAGGTATCGCATTGATAATAGACATGGGCATACCCAAGTGCATGAATGGTTGGGATTTTTACAGAAATAGCACCTTTAAAAAAAAATTTACAAAAATAACACACAGCCGAAAAAATTTACACTAATAGCACCATTTTTTATGGACCGCACCTTAGAGGTGCGTTTTATATATAAACCGCACCTTTATTGCGCGCTTTTAAATCCTGGACCAAAACCGCATCTTGGCCAAGCGGTTTTAGGTCTGACCTACAGAAACCGCTTGGCCGAGCCGCTTGGCCGAGGTGCGGTTTAGGCCTGACCTACCTAAACCGCACCATGAAGCTGCGGTTTGCTTCTCCCAAACAAAACCGCATCTGCATGGTGCGGTTTTGCAACTCAAACCGCACCCCCAAGGTGCAGTTTTGGTCAATTAATTTCCGACATGCCATGCAGAACAACAGACGTGGGTCTCCATGGGCGTGCATGGCAGACGAAAACCGCACCTCTAAGGTGTGGTTTTCATAAGTGATTTTGCCTATAAAAGGCTTCCCGGAAAACCATTTCTCTTCACACCTCTCCTTCTCCCTTTTCAATTTTCTGTTGTAGCTCTATATTTCTTTAGTAGTTTTGCGATTAACGTTAACTCGTAAGTTATTTTGTATTACTTTTTAGTGTTATTTTTTATTTTGATTTTTATGATATTAACTGAACTACGATTTTTTCGCAGATGGCATTCCAAAAGTTCACGCTAGGCTTACGGTGGAATGGTTACACGGAAGAGACCGGAAAGGGGGTCACTTACGTCGGTGGCAATTTTCAGAAGATAAAGGTCGCTACCAGACCGCTGCTTGAAGACCTCCATCAAATGTGCACTAACGTTACTTGCATGGATGGCACGAGAAGAGTTGATCGTATGGTGTACCGATATCCAAACAGAGAAAGTGGGTCATTGTGGCATGAGGAATATCTCATAACCACACAGGATGAGGTAGATGCCATGCTCGAATTCTTGAGGTCCAACAATCTTTCCAAAGCCGAGATGTTCGTTTACAACGA